TGAGTTAACATGTTCCATGTTTGTTTGTCAATAATACCAAATCTAATTTTTGTAGAAGGGTATAGAAGTGGGTATCATTATTTTGTCTTTGAGAATCTTGAAGAAATAAAGGATAGAAGATTTTCCATATAGGGAATTGGTATACTGGTGGGGCATTAACAGGTGGTAATTGAGCTAAATCACCAACTAAAATAACATTAATGCCTCCAAATGGTTGATTATTGTTGTGCAAGTGTTCAAAAAGTTCAGAAATGTATGTTAATAATGGGCCTGATACCATAGAGATTTCTTCAATAATGAGAATGTTGATTAAGCGGAGAGTATTACAATACTCTAAATCATAAAATATAAAAGTACAGAAACCTTTTTCATCTGACATTATTCATAGAGCGGAATGTATTGTTGTTCCACCAATGTTTTGAGCTGCTATTCCTGTGAAGACTACTAATAAATAGTTATAGCCAATTCTTTGAAAATATTCTAGTAGTACAAGGATCATAAATGATTTGCTATTACCAGCAGAGCCAGTAATAAAAAAGTATGGGTAATGTGAGTTATCTCGTTTGCCTAAGTAATTAGTTATTGTTTGATAACAGTGATATTGACTTTGGGCTAAATTGGCTATTATATTTGTAGGTAATATACGGGGTAGTATTTTAAAAGAATCTAATTGTGATTTAATAATATTAATAATGTTGTTTGTTAATGTATTTTGTAGAGAAGAAGTTATGGTTTCAATTATTGTGTTATATTGGTCTTGAACATAGTTTGATTGGTTTAATGTAAATTAAGAATTTTGTGTAATTATAGATTGATATATATCGGGAAATCAAGAAAAAAAGTGGTCTCGATAGGTTTGATGTCTTCTAAGCATTTCTTGTTCAGATCTGCAGGGAAATCTTAATAGTAACTGTTGATAAAAATAAGGCTCATCATGGTCAGGTCTTAGAAATCAATATCTTGTAAGTATTTTATTTTCATGTTTAATAATGAAGTTTTCTAAGCAATCGTTATATATTGTTCTTCTAGATTCACTAGGTCTATTAGATTTTCGAAATAGGTTTTATAAGTTATATCATTAAATTCAGAATTATTTGGTCGAGCAAAATATTTTTTTATTTTATCGGACCAGTAAGAATTATCATCATTGGAGTCGATCATATATAGTGAAAGTATAGCTTTAGTTCGAATGTTTGAAGGATCTGTTGTTAAAAATTGCACTTGAATTAAAGAATTTGTAATGTATTTTCCAAGTAATAGAAACATTATTTCCATTGAACCCATTCGTCGAGCATGAATATACTCTCGGTAACACAATTGTTCACGTATGTTGAATAGGTGGGTAGGTTTAGGTTTGCTTATATATTTGGTTATGTATTTGGCAAATCCTTTATTGGTAACATATAGAGTATTCATGTGGGCATTCTATATTATTAAAGTTGGGCATGGTATGGGACTACCCATTGGTCTTCAGGTGTTAGGCATTTATATGTGTATCTATAGTTGCTTGAATCGTAATAAGTATGATTAGCAAAAGGGCGGGTGAATCCTTTTCTACATCTAGAATTAGGTGGGGCAGGACCACCACATTTAGAGTTACAAGTATGTATTTGTAGAGCAATAACATTTTGATATAATTCAGGTTCTAAAGAAGGGTTTGGAAGAGTTGATCTAATAGTATTTGTATTAATTATTTCAGTAATGTTAAATGATGTCCAGTAAACACCATGTAGATGAGCAGCACCACGGTTTTGAAATTCTATTCTATCAAAGAAATAATGATATGTTTCCTATTTACTAATATCAGGATTTTTTCAAACAAATTTTTTAAGATTTTGTAATCTATTTATAAAATATAGAGTGGTATGAAGTGGTCTGTTTGTTGGTAATGGGTCTTTATTATTAGTATTAATAAGAATGTTACGAAGGTGATGCCATAAGCCTTCAGCCATTGTAAGGGTAATAAATATAGTTGGAAGGTTTAATTCACGTATCATTGTATTTAGATGTAATATTTTTTGCTAAAAATAAATATCACCAGTATGAATAAATGCTGGAATGGGAAAAGTAATAGTTTCATTATAGCGCCAGATATCTGTATAGGTACTTCGTTCAATAATTTCAATAGCAGTAGGTAGACGATTTATATTATTAGGATCAGATTGACGAATTAATCTCTGTGTATTTTGGAAGTTTCTAAGTTTTTCTAATTGGAGATATGCCCAAGCTGGCTAGTAACGGTGTAAATGAAAGTGGGGGTCTATTGAAAGTAATTGTTGTTTGATATATTTACCAAAAGTGTCATGTCGACATTGTATATTGTTAAGCTGATCAAGTAATTCACGGTAATAACCATGACCATCTGGATACAGATCAGAGAAAAGCAATGGTTCAAGATGAGGGTCATCTAATAAAATAGGAATTCTGTTAGATTCATTGTTTGTTAGGAATCCAGCTATAAGACAATGGTAATGAGTATCTTTGTTATAAATTTCAGAAGAAAAGTTTTGATGTGGAACTACAATATCGCCTTGTTGTATTTGTAGTACATTTTCTTCATCAAATAAATGAGTAGCAGTAGGTAAAGATAGATGAGTAGATAAGTTAGAGGGAAGTATTTGAGAATAACTACATAAATAGAGATTATTTTCTTTAAGCCAATTGACAGCATTCATTAAAGAATTGTCAAATAAAGGAGTTGTAGATATAGTAGAATAGGGTTCTAAGAAAGCACCTAATAGACCAGAGTATAAACTTAAGGAGTGAAAGTTTTGAGAATAGTTCATAGTTCCTACTATTGATCGATATTCAATAAAAGGATTTGCCCCAGATGTACGACCTAGTGAACAGTGTAGAAATATAGGAGATAAATATCTGCGTTTTTCTAATGGTACAAGGTCAATTTCAGTGGGAACTGGAAAGAGGTATGGAGAGTAGTTTCGATTTGGATTTGATTTGCATGAACGACATATAGTGATTCGATTTGGTGGAGGATTTGAATTGGTGATTAATGCAATATTTGGATATGCATTAGTAAGCAGGTAAGTAGTGTTTAGCTCTTGTTGAACCCACATAGATTTCTCAGGGTACATAAGTTTTGAACAGATGGAGCAAGGGACGCATGGAAATTTACACAAAATTTCATTTTCAAATTTGTAAATAACTTGTTGCAATTGAGGAGAGATAATCTACGGCAAATTTGTAGAGGATATAAATAAAGCATTATTGGTAGAGAAATTTGTATTTTGTCCTATAGTATATTGTGGATTATTGAGTGGTGGTATATCAATAATTTGTTCACCACATTCTAAAGAATGGATTTTGAAAATTTGATGCGTATTGAATGACATAGTAAGTTAAAATAGGTTTGATAATTAATATATAATTAGATTTATAAGATGCGAATTATAGGTTCAAATATAATAGATAAATTTTATTTGGAATTTATTTATTGTTAGAGGATTTGTAATTAGATACAGAGAATGAATAAGGTTTTTAATATATTTTTGCAGGATGCAAGTTTTCTTTAAGTTATTATAATATATATATATTTATTTGTTTATTGTTTAATAATGATACTATTTAATTTAATAAAGTTATTTAAATATAATTTATTAAAAATGGGTTTATTTATTGTGCCATTATTTTGATGATTTATTGTTTGGCCTTACACATTTTGATTATTTCTTTGATTATAAATTTGATTTAAGAATTAATATGAGTGTTGTTAATAGAAAACCTGTCATTGGGCTTTCAATTATATTTTGTGTACAGTTAGCCATTTATGAAAAATATATCATGACAATAGATTTTCCATAGATGGCTAACTGTATACAAAATATAATTGAAAGCCCGATAACAGGTTTTCTATTGACAGCACTCATATGATAGTATTAATAAATAAAGGTGAAGTAGTAACAATGGCTAAATAAGGTATGTGCAGGTCTAAAGCAAGCGTGTTGTACAAAATAAGTAGTAATTAAAGGTGTGGTAAAAAGAGTAAGTAAAGTACTAAATGAAGAAATAGTCAGTAAATTAGGTTAAATAAATAAATGATCAGATTATTAAATTAGTAAGTAGATTTAAGTGACAAATTTAGTTATGTATTAAGTAGGTTAGTATTACTGTATTAGTAGTTTAATATAATAAATAAAGCCTAAATAATAGTTAATAATTAAATATATAAGGTATTTGATGAGTATATAGTATGTAATAATGATAAGCAATAATTAGAGCATAGTGGAATAAATAAAAAAAGGAAGTGCAAATATAGTTTTAATTAGGGAAATATAATTGTGTTGGAGTAGATTATATGGAATTTTTAGATAGTTATAATGTAAATTCATGGGTTAAAAAGTTCAATGCGTTAAATAGTATTCTTTGGATGCTACTCAATATGTTAGTTAATTTATTATTTAGTATTATAACATAATTTTGCAAACATATATGTTTGTTAATTTACGTGATGATATTAACTAATGGGTTAAATAGTATATCGAACAATGTTATTTAGTACGTTGAATTGGTAAGAGAATATGATTATATAATTTATTAAATAATGTATTAAGGTGATTATCTAGATTTTTACAATCAAAACCATTTTTGATTTTTTTTTGTGCATTTCGCTTTGTTATAACCTGTTATCTATTAACATTTTCATACTAACTACAAGTGTTATTAAAAATTACATAACAGTATATATTAATTGAAGATCAGAGGAGGAAAGAAGACAATAAATGTAACGTAAGACAATTGTTTATTATTGAATATCATTATTAAAATATGTAATAAAAAAGTTTGCGTCTGGCATTTCTCGTATGAGATTTTTAAAAAAAAACGTAAACAATAATGAATATAAGTACATTATTTATTTTATATTTATTTAAAAAATAAATCGAATTCATACATCTGAGGAGAAAATAAAAAAACAAAAATTTTAAGAAAAAAAAAAAAATAAGATAAAAATCTTAAAAAAAAAAAAAAAAAAATTCTTAAATAATTTAAGGGGTAGAGGGGTTGGGAACATCAACACTCTGATTTTGGTTTAGTGCTTTTTTAGCAAAGTCACTAATTTTGGGGTGATTTTTTAAACCAAGATATGATCTTGCTGTAGTTGATGTCTTCTTTCTTCTACCACCTTTGACTCTTGAAGCAATTGTGTGCATAACTTTTTCAGTACCTGATTCATTTACTAGAGGTTTATTTGACCGCTTAGCTATGGGAGATCAGTTAGATTTTTTGCATTGATTGATTTTTGATGTTCAATGAAGTTTATACTACGAAGATGAACAATAAAAGTATAGTCATCATCAATTAAGAGTTCTCCATTCATGAAAAGAGTTGATCCTTTTTTTGCAGAAGTGGTAGTAGGAATAAGGTGTTGCACTGATTTTAGATAATAACATTTTAGTTTAAGAACAGTATGGTCTTGGTTCATGAAGTCTCTGGTCTCCACAACTAATGAAATATCATCATCATTAGATTCACTTTGTGAGAGTTCAACTACGAAAGCAGTCATGTTGATTAATAAGGGAAATGCAGGCAAATCGGTCAGATCAATAGTCAATTGAATGACGTGGTGCAAAACAATCTAAAAAAATATTTATTTATTTATATAAAAGGGAAAAAAAAAGAAAGTAAAACCCGCAGTTTATTAACACTAGACATACTTTTAAGACAGAAAATTTTTTTCTTCATCATTTAAGTTTTCAACAAACCAAAATTTGCCAGTTACCAAAAGAACATCTTCAGGTAAAAAAGTTGCTAGGGTTTGATCTGGGGTATCATCGTTTTGAGAAAAGAAACCAACTAAAAGAACATTTAAGGGGGAGACACTGGTTTTAAGGTGCATTACTCCAGCAGCCTTAACAATAGTAAGGGCTTTGCTTGTGGTGGATTCTTGTCGGTCAGTAATGTAACATACTGTTGTAATAGTAGATGGCATTTTGTTATTAACGAAGATAATAAGAGTATATCAGGGCGGCCCCCCAAAGTTCAGGTCGATGATCACCGTCAGATTGATAATTGATGTCGGATCGATAATTGAAATTACTCCTGCAGCTTATCAAGTAAATTAGGGTGGCCTTCCAAAGTCTGGGCCAATGATCGACCTGTACTTTGGGGGGGCCGCCCTGATATACTCAAGATAATAAGATCAAATATAAAGGCAATTTAGATTTTTTACTGTAAAATACGATAACATGTAAAAGGTAAATATAA